TACTGTGTTTCCTTTAATCTTAAAATGTGGGGAATTACATAAATTGATTTTCTAAGGTCAAACCAATCTTGCATTCTGAAAACAAATCAACTTGGTTATGATGTATTACCCTTTTAAGCATTGCCAGAGTTAGTGTGCTAATTCTTTCCTTAGGATTTTTAAATATTTATTAATAAAAGTAGCCCATAATTTTATTTTTTAGACTTTAGTAAGATATCAACATTATGCTACTATCATGAAACAGTTTGAGACTGTTCCTTTTTTCCCCTAAAATCTGTAATAATCTAAGTAAAATTGGAATCTTTTTAATTGAATGTCTGTTACAGCTTCTAATTTTTTGCATCTGAAACATCTCCCAAAAGGTCATGTGCAGAAGGCTTGGTCCCCAATGCAGCAATGGCTAGAAGTAGGGCTTGTGGGAAATGATTGGGTCACAGGTGCTCTGACCTCATCAGTGGGATAATCCACTGAAAGCTGAATGAACTACTAGGAGGTGGTAGAAACTATAGGCAGGTGGGGCGTGGCTGGAAGAAGTAGGTCACTAAGGCGCATGTGCTTGAGGGTTATATCTTGTTCCTGGCTCCTTCCTTATTCCTCTTTACTTCCTGGCTGCCATGAGCTGAATAACTTTCCTCCACTGTGCTCTTCTGCCATGATGCTCTGTCCCACCTCAGGCCCAGAGCAGTGGAGCCCACCAACCATGGTCTGAAACCATGAGTCAAAATAAATCTTTCCTCCTCTAAGTTGTTTATGTCAGCTATTTTATATACAGTGATGAAAAACTAACACACAGTACAATAGAAATTTGTCCACTTTGTATATTTCAATTTATTAACTTCAGGATTTTCAATAATTATTCTTTAATTACTTCATTAATCTCTGAAGCATTTAAAAATATTATACCCTTCTTAAACTTGAGGTTGCTTATTTGTGCCTTCCATCATTATTCTTGAACATTTTTACAAAAGACCTACAAATTTTATTAGTCTCTTTTAAGGCACCAACTATTAGTTTTATTGACTGCCTCTAGTAAAGATTTTTCTGTTTTATTGGTTTCTGCTTTTATTTTTCTTCTTTGATTTATTCCAGTTTTTTGGAATTTGATCTTCCATTCTTTTTCTAATTTCTTAAATTAGTTCATTAATATTTAATCTACACTGATAAAAGCATTGCGGATTATATATTTCCCTCTAAGTAGTGTTGTAGTTTATCTCATAAGTTCGCACATGTGTTCTATTAATTACTATTTAGTGCTACATATTTTATCTTTGGCTTTATTTTTGCCTTTTGACCTGTGAATTAATTATAAAGAATTGTTTCCTAATTTCCAAACACTTGTTTTTCTAGTTACATTTCTATTTTATATCTCTAGGTTAATTTCAGTGGGGTCAAAAAGGTAAAAAATGAGATTGTTTCCCAATTTTAAATTACCCTTTATCCCTATGTACCAGTAATTGAATACTATTGATTTGATACATGCAGTTATATCTATATTCAGAATATCTTCTTACATTCACAAAAAAGGTTACTACACAGCCCTGGCCTGGGGCTCTGTGATAATTTCAAGCATGTCTTAGATTCTCAAAGCAAGGTTTATAACTATAGGGCCTCTTTGGCAAACATAGCCTTGTTTGGCACATATTTACATCTCTAAATGCATATCAATATATCTGTTAATGCAATATATTGAACACATACTGAATCCTGTGGATATGTACATAACAAAAGTATTTTAAGCTGGGTGTGGTGGTGCATGCCTGTAATCTCAGCAACTTGGGAGGCTAAGTTAAGAGAATTGCAAGTTGGAGGCCAGCGCCAGCAACTAAGGCAGGACCCTATCTCAAAAAAAATTTAAAAAGGCTAGGGATGTAGCTCAATGGTAGGACTCCCCTGGGTTCAATCCTACATACCCCACCCCAAATATTTTTAAATGTTCCATATATGTCTGTCCTTATATGTCAGAATTGCTTTCTTTACATATCAAGTAAAGTAAAAGAGCTTTCTGCAGTTTTCCAGAAGAACAGATACATACACCAACAACAAATACTATTTTTGGAGTATAATATTTTTTTAAGGACATGATGAGGACATTTTTTTTAATTGTGGTAACAACACATGGTATAAAATTTACCACCTTAACCCTTTTTAAAATTTACAGTTTGGTATTGTTAAGTATACATACATTGTTGCCAAACAGATCTCCAAACTTTTTCATCTTGCAAATATGAAACTCTATGCCCATTAACCACCCCCCTTGTCCCCTCCCCACAACCCCTGGTAACTACCATTTTACTTTTTGTTTCTGTGAATTTGACTGCTTTAGGTATATGATATACATACCATAATTTTGTCTTCAAGACTAACTTATTTAACATAATGTCTCCAAAATTCATCCACGTCATAACACGACAGAATTTCCTTCTTTTGTAAGGTTGAATAATATTCTGTTGTACATATAAATCACATCTCATTGAACCATTTATTCCTCCATGGTAGGTCTTCTTTTAATTTCTAAGGAACCTTCATACTGTTTGCATCATGTTGCAATAGATAAATGATTTCAGATGATAAGGTAAAGCTTAGAAGTTCACACATGGGGTTTTAGTAGAGTGAATATTTGAGAATCCTAGGAGTAATTTTAGATAGTTCCTTAGAAATGAGTTAAGGTTGACTTTCACTGGCATTAAAACCACCAGTGAAACGGTTTAAAAGAAGCCAACCATTCCCCTCTACAAGTTGCCATAGTGGCATTGTGAAGCCATGGCCTCTGCATGTAAAATAATACTTCATGACTTTATTTCCATAATAATATTAGCATTTAGTTAAAACAGTCCTGTAGTGTTTTTTTAATCTCAGTTCTATGTTTAGTTTTCACAGTGATAGCCACTTAACAGTGATTTAGTTGTTTTGTTGAATAATAACTCTGAATACTGACTATATGCCCAGCATCATGCTAAGGGATTTAAGTATATCCTTGTGCAATTCCTTAGAGGCAAGCAGCATCACTAGTCTCATTCTTTTTCAAATAAGGAAACAGGCTAAGAAAGATTGAGGACTGTATTTCATAGATCCTAAGATACACATTTTACATCTCCAAAATCATCATGCATCTTACAATCAATGGCATCCAATAATTAGTATGGCCCAGAGGATAGCCTGGCATAGCAGCCATTACCTTTGAGTGTGCATATTTTGTTGTAGTTTTGACTGTTGTCACTTCCCTTGTGTTTATATACAAAGTGAGTTTGAAAGATGGTAAGCTTATTGTCATTTTAAATGTTTTCAAGAGTATTCACTCTGAAAAAAAAAAGAGTATTCACTCTGAATTGACATTGAAAGGAAAAGGTATCATGCATACTAGAAGGCACTGAAAACAGTGGTGGGTAGCAACTGGATATTAGTGAAACAAATATGTATCATTGCATGAATGTGCGCAATTCCTTATTTTCTTGCAAACTGATAATTGGTTTTCAGGACCCAAGAAAGATGTCCACAAAAATGTTGTATTCTATTTTATAACATATATCCAAAAGAATTTGCAATCAAAGCAACTAAAGGCAGGAAGAATTGCCAAAAGTCTCCACATAGCCAGACACAGTGTTGCACAACTGTAATCCCAGCAACTATGGAGGCTGAAGCAGGAGGACCACAAGTTCAAAGCCAGCCTCAGCCAATTAGCAAAGCCCTGAGCAACTTAGCAAGACCTCATCTCAAAATAAAAACAAAAAGGCTGGGGACGTGGCTCAGTGGTTAAGTGCCCCCGAGTTCATCCCCGGTAACAAAAACAAGAACTCCACATAGATATAAGAATTATAAGGCAGGCAAAGAGAGAAGTATTTGGTCAACTCATGGGTTGTGCAGCACTATTGCTAAGGTGTTTCACTGGAATTGTTTTTCTTTCTTAGTGGTATGTAAAGTAATGAAACTGATAACATCTAAGGTTTGATGGCATCAAGTACCTTTCCCAAAGTTAAGTAGAAAAAGTGGACACTCACATGCTAGGTCTGTGCTCATAACAAGCAGGCTTTAAAGGGCTTTGTTTGATTTGGTAATTTCTCTTCTATTCTTTAGCCTATATGTATTTCCTTTAAACAAAATATTACTTATGTTTCATATCTTGGATAATTTAATGACTATTTGGAGGATAATTGTAGACTCCTTGGAGGCAGTCTCCAAAACTCAGAATCACCAAGATTAAGGAAAACATTAATATAATTAGAATAGCAGCTAATGCTGGCCCTCAAAAAAGCACGGAATGTGTGTAGTACTCTATCACTTAGAAATATAAAATGGGAACACAAATCTTAGAATCAGGGCCAGGGTCTTTGCTCTGTTCAGTCATATTTCATAACTCATATTTACTTGATTCCTTCCGTGTTTTCAGGATTTATTGCTTTTAGAAGTTTAAGAAACAAATACTCATGATTACCTCTCTGGAGTAATCATGATTTTAATAGTAATAAATAAGTGTATAGTGCTTGATCACTTATTATGCCTTCTCATTTTGATCTTCTTTGGTCCTCATAGCACTATTTTATAATGATTAAGAATACAGTGCAGGGGCTGGGGCTGCAGCTCAGTGGTACAGTGCTTGCCTAGCGTGTGTGAGGTACTGGGTTCCATCCTCAGCACCACATGAAAATAAACAAATAAAAGGCATGCTGTTCACCTAAAACTACAAAAAAATGTAAACAAAAAAGAATACAGTGCATTTGGGATTCTCACTCCATCATGTGGGTTCAAGTCTCAACTCAACCATGGATTGAGTTATCAACTGGGTGAGTTTGGGAAAAATCACTTCACTTGCATGAGCCTTGTTTTCTCATTTATAAAATTAATAATCTGTGCCTTGAGAGCTGTTACAAGAATGAAATAAGATAATGCATGAAAAGCAATTAAGCATAGTGCCTGCTCTAAAGGCTTAATAAATTTAAGCTGCCATTATTAGTAGCAAAAGAACTCTGTGTATATCTAAACAATTGTACAAGTAAGAAACTAAAGTGTTCGCTTCAGCAGCACATATATTAAAACTGGAATGATATAGGGAAGATTAGCATGGCCCTTGTGCAAAGATGACATGCAAATTTGTGAAGTGTTCTATATTTTTTCTCTCTGATATGCAGATGCTAACTCAGAAGAAGGGGGAGTGGAGGGAAGAATAGAAGTACTTTGGATTAGACAAAGAATGAAGGGAAAGGAGAGGGAATGGGAATAGGAAAGATAGTAGGATGAATCCAATGTAACTTTCCTATGAACATATATGATTACATGACCAATGTAATTGTACATCATGTACAACCAAAAGAATGAAAGTTATACTCCAGATAGGTATACTATGTCAAAATACATTCTACTGTCATGTATAACTAATAAGAACAAATCAAAAAATCACTTGGAAAAAAAAGAAACTAAGGTTCAGAGAGATGAAGTCAGTCCTCAAGTTCACTCAGCTGGTAAGGATCAGAGCTGGTATATACATCCAGAACAGCACTTACCTTGAGTGCAGGTGAAATAGGCAATAGGGAACTCATGGTCTGTGCCAAGCTGGTAATGACCATTCTATTATGATCTCTACATAACTTAACAAATTGCTGGTAGAACTGTAAAAGCATTAAAAAATTATTTTTTTCTTCTCTCATAAAAGCTGCTGATGGATGAATATAGAAATAAAAATTGAGTTGACTTTGCTGACCAGTTATAGTATAGGATTATCAAAATGTGACAGGCCAATTTCCATTATAACCCAAATCTCTTTATTACAAAAAAAGAGATCAAATTCTAGCTACCTTATCACAAATTTAAGAAATCTTTGAAACAATTTTTTTAAACAATAAAGGATATAGATAGGGTGTTGGAAGCTTAATGTAAAGGATCTGACCTGTACTAAAACCCACTTGAATTTCCTATTCCTCTAGCCCATGGTGATTATTTGAATTTGCGTGCAAGCTCTTCATCTGCATAATTAGTTCCAGTACCTCACAGAAACAGATTGAGACCTAATCAAGGAGGTCAAGAGTTGGACAAGAGTGAGCTCCAGAGGGGAGGATGCTGTGTTAACCCCCTGCTCTTAGGTACATTTTTGTGTTCAGGGGCCACTGAACTGGAAACAAAGGGAAGGCCCAGGGATGCTGCGAGAAGATGGAGAGAAAAGAGTTCTGGCAGACAGTTGTGGATTTCCTGAGCTGTGAGCACTATAGCAGACAGTAGGGAAGCAGAAAGGGACTCAAATCCCAGCTCAAATCAGGAGAGGTGCTCAGCAAGAGCTGTAGTGCCTGCCAGAATCCAATGGTTAATGGAAGACCCCGAGTCAGATCCCTAGAAAGAGAAGAGTGAATAGGTAGCACAGACCAGACCAAATTAGAGGAAAGAAGACCACACCAAGTGCAAGCAGCTCACAGCAGTGGCACTAGACACCCCAGCACAGACTTCTAAACCATCCCCTGCAGTAGGGTGGGGAAGCTCCTCAGAGAGAAAAGCAGATCCCACAAAGAGCAGGTACATGGTCTTTATTGGCTGAGGAGCCAAGCCAAGAACAAGCAGTCAGTGGAAGAAATGGGACCACCTTTGAGCTGTATGTTTTAATGTTCACTAGTGGAGAGACCCTGTTCTGGAACTGTGGCCACGATCCTTTCTAGCAGAAGAACTGGGTCCTGGGAGAATTGGGAAGAGCACATGTTTGGGAGACCTGGGAGTTGTCCAGGAACTGCTGAAGATCTCGTGGCTTCTATCATGGAAAGATTCTCACAGTGGGATCAGGAGCATTTGCTTCATGGGTTGTGAATGACTTAGAAATGTCTGCAGGGAGCTTTAGACTGGGAGCATCAAAGGCTTGTAAAGACAACTATGGCAGACCGCCTGTAGCCTCAAAAGTCCGCTCTGACAAGGGAACAGTTGCCAACCTGATGTTGAACAAGTTGGTTGACAGTTTTTTCTGCCCAAGTAACATTAGCATCCCAAAAGAGGAGAGCATACAGGTGCTATAAGAAGCAATTATGCACCAGGCGCTGTGGCACATGCCAGTAATTCTAGTGGCTCAGGAGGCTGAGGAAGAAGGATTGTGAGTTCAAACCCAGCTTCAGCAACTTAGTGAGACCCTAAGCAACTCAGTGAGACCCCATCTCAAAATAAAATATAAAAAAGGGTTAAGCACCCCTGGGTTCAATCCCTGGTTCCAAAAAGAAAAATCAATTGTGCATTTATTCAGACATATACATACTGCTATTTGTTAAACCTCCTTTATTCTAGTTTAAAATTTGTTGTAAACACCACTGCACTCGGACCAGCCAAGTTTAAAATTTGTAAAAAACCTTTCTTTGAAAAATATAAAATGATCTTTACATACACTATATGAAGTCTTATAGCATCTTTGTTTTGGGGTTACAAATATGCCAAGTGCATCGGAAATTCAGATAGAAAATTCACTAAATGAGAGCTTTCTAGAAATATAAAAATTAATGAATTGATTCATTTCTACTAATTGGTTGACAAATTAGCACTGGCTGAAATTTCAGTACAGGTCCAAGGCATCATTGCCCATTCTGTTATGATGATTTATAATCCAGAACCTGTCGCCACTATACATAAAAGGGGCACCTAAAAATGGGTCCATAAATTATGCATGCATGTACATATATGCACTCACACTCACATGCAGTCACACACATTTGCACAATCATGCACATCCACACACCACCAACACAGAGACTCAAGCACATGCACAAATGCTAATAAGTACTCACATACTTGCACACACACGAAACTTCTGCATGCTCACTCCCACATGTACACTCACACAGTTAAAACATATGTACATATTCACATGCACTCATATATATACTCACAGATATCTATATAGATATAGATACAGGTACAGATATATAGATATATCTACAAAGTTTAACAAATGCTATGCACAAATGAACCACTTTTATTGAACCTACACAGTAACACTGAGTCAGGTATTGCTAACTCCATTGTACAGATGAGGAAAGTAAAAGAACTTGTCCAATGTCTTACAGCTGGTAAATGGAAGGAGGTGTCTGATTCAGAATTGTACATAGAATTACCAACAAAATAACCCACTGCGTATGTGACCTCTTAAGTATTTTGCTAATTATACCATTATTTTAGTTAACCAAACTCAACACATTTCTTTAAAGTAGTTTTCCACTTAAATTTTGAATCATGCATATTTTGTGGAAAATTTAATCCACATGCTTGTGATTCATTTACATCAAAATGCTGCAAATATTGTTTCTTAAGAGGCATTTTATGTCAAAAGAAAGCATGAGATTTTTCAAGTTTTATAATTCATTAAAAACAGGCAAAACCATTGTTCCAAGCTTAGGGAAATTTGAGTTGTATTTGAGATTTTTTTCTGTTCTGTCATTTTGAAGATCATTTATTATGCATGTTCAGTTATTTGAATAAAAATTAACTTGGATCCTGTAAGTTCCTACTGTTTTGGGTGCTGCTGTTTTAACTAATGACACGATTGCCTGAAAAATAATTCCATACTGATTTTTTTTTTCTTGTTTTCTGGTAAGCCAACTGTACTGACACCATAAATTTACACAACTGGAATTTTCAAGAGAAGTGAAAAAATGTGATAAACTGTTGGAAAATATAAAGAGTTCACATGAGACACTCAAACACTTTTGAGTACACATGAGGGAAGATATGTGGATTGTACAACGATGTGGATATTTCGCTTCAAATCTGAAGCTTCCAAAAAGTCATAAATGAGCCCTAAACAAATCACTACTGAACTTCTGAGGACTGATTAGTATTTATCTAAAATAATTTTTGAAGCCTTATTCCCACTCTACATTTCCCTTATTGAAAATATTTAAGACACAAAATAAAATTAAAAACACCACATCAAAAGCATGTCTCACCCTTTGAGAAGTAGCACAGCATTTACTAAACTTTGTAGATATATCTATATCTATAGATAGATATCTGTGAGTATATATATGAGTGCATGTGAATGTGTACATTCACACTAATCACCCTTTGTTTATTCTGAGGATGAACCTACTTACTTGTAATGTGAACAGAGCAGCTGCTAACTTTCCTGAACCCATAAACAAAAATTTATAGACACAGAATTCTTCAATGGGCATAGCTCTGAGATAGAATATTATTTATTACATTCAGTGAAATTTCTTCAAAGATGCCTTTGCACAGAATGAAGATATAATAAAACCTAAGTTTCATAATAACTACCCTGTGAAGTAGATATTATTGTCACTGTTGCTATCCTTATAATTATTATTAATATCACCCCCAATTTAAAGATAAGTAACCTGAGGTTCAGAGTTGCCCAAGGCTGTCACAGCTTAGAAAGCACAAAGTAAGATGACAGTGACCAAAATATAAGTCTCCAAGGAGAGTCATCCAAACCCAGGCTTAGTAGAGACTGGAGGCAAAAGCAAGGTATTTCTGAAGCTAGTGAGAAATGAAAGGAAATGTAATAAAAGCAGAGTCCTGGGTCAACTAGCCTGAATTTTCCTGTCAAACTTTGACTATGCCTTCTGACTATCAGCCTGGTGCCTGATGTCAGGCCCATTGATGAGACTTTTGTGGGCTCTTTTTCTTGATATCTTTCATTCTCCCTCTTATTCTCCTACCTCTCTCATTTCAGATAGGCAGCACATGAGGGAACTAGGGGTTATTTTCTTGGCTTACAGGTTAGATTTCTGTGGATAATTGGATGTCAAAAGTTCAGATGCCAAGGTGCCCCTGGATTGGGGCCAAATATGGTACCTTTATTCATAGAATCACCATGAAATAAACATAAGCACAATTTGAGATTACAGGTTCTGGATCTACTTTATGTTGGTTGTATACTTAGGGAAGTTTCCCAACCTCTGTGAGACTTGTTTTTATTATCTGAAAAACTAGTAATGCTGTTTTCCATGATAAGAACTAGTAAAGCAATTCATGTACACAAAAATATCCTGTAGAGTCCATGTGCAGAATCCGTGCACGTGAAAGAAAGTTAGGGCATGAAGTCTCCCCCAAGGAGCACATCAAATTCAACTTTGGGGCATAAAGCTTTAAAAATCAAAACCACCCCACTCCGAGAGGCTTTTTGACAATTTT